GTTTAACTAACATGGGGATACATATCAATTGTCTGGTTTAACTAACATGGGGATACATATCAATTGTCTGGTTTAACTAACATGGGGATACATATCAATTGTCTGGTTTAACTAACCGTTAATCTGGAAAATTGATATGTATCCTCATGTTAGTTAAACCAGACAATTGATATGTATCCCCATGTTAGTTAAACCAGACAATTGATATGTATCCCCATGTTAGTTAAACCAGACAATTGATATGTATCCCCATTAATTTCTATTTTTTACTTAATTAACATTAGGTTACGTATATAATTTCAATTTTTTTGTGGATTAACTAGCATGAGGTTACGTATCTAATTTCTATTTCCTGGACTAAATATCATGAAGTTATGTATCTAATATATATTTTGTGGATTAACTTACCTATCAGTTTTCAGGATTAACTAGCTTGAGGATACATATCCAATTTATATTTTCTGGATTAATCTAGCATGAGGGTACATATCCAATTTCTATCTTCTGGACTAAGTAGCATGACGATATGTATCTAGTTTCTGGATTAACTAACATCAAGTTACTTATATAATTTCTATTTTCTGTATTAACTCATATGAAGTTAGATATCTAATTTCTAATTTCTGGACTAAGTAACATGAAGTTACGTATTTAATTTCGTTTTTCTGGATTAACTAGCATGAAGTAATGTATCTAATTTATTTTTTCTAGATTAAGTTCATGAAGTTACGTATCTAATTTATATTTTCTGGACTAAGTAACACGAGGTTACATATCTAATTTCCATCTTCTGGATTAAGTTAGATGAAGATATATATCAAATTTATATTTTCTGGATTAAGTAACATGAGGTTACGCATATAATATATATTTTCTGGATATCCTAACATGATCTTACGTTTATAATTTATATAATTTATTTTTCAGTAAAGTACTCGTGTCTAGCTGTGATGTTTATTTTGGAGCGTCAGATATCTCATCATTTAATGCAAGTTTTTGCTCCCAGTGCCCTGATCGTCATGTTATCCTGGTTTTCCTTTTGGATTGGAATAGATGCTATTCCTGGTAGGGTTACTTTAGTTGTAACCAGTTTATTGTCCCTCTTTACCCAGTTCTCGGGGATCAGAGGGGGATTACCCCCTGCTTCTTACATCAATGTAAGTTTATACGAACATAAGTTAATATATTTTATAGACTAGGCTAAAATAGAAAATGTTTGTTTCGAACATGGAATTGATAAATTACAATTAATTAAAAATCACAGTGAATATTGTGTAACAGTATCCGGGCATGTGACCTCTTTGTTCCATACTGTATATATATATATATATCTGTGTCAGTGTAAACTACTTGTACCTGATGATGACATTTGCTGTTACGTTAAACTTATATTAAAGTTTTTCTTCATTACACATTCAAGCCGTTTCCAAGCGTTATTAGTCTCAAAGTGGGTTCACATGTCTGATGACAGAAAAACTACCTGTAACACCGTAGAACTTATTACTTGTGTGTAGACAGAGGAACTATCTGTAACACTAGATCTTATCACATGTCTATAGACAGAACAATTAGCTGTAACACTAAATCTTATCACATGTTTGTAGACAGAACAACTAGCTGTAACACTAAATCCTAGCACATGTCTGTAGAAAGAACAATTAGCTGTAACACTAGATCTTATCAAATGTCTGTAGACAGAACAATTAGCTGTAACACTAGCTCCTATAACAAGTCTGTAGACACAAAAACTAGCTGTAACACTATATCCTATCAAATGTCTGTAGACAGAACAATTAGCTGTAACACCAGATCATATCACATGTCTCAAGACAGAACAACTAGCTGTAACACTGGATCATATCACATGTCTGTAGACGGAACAACTAGCTGGAACACTGGATCATATCACATGTCTGTAGACGGAACAACTAGCTGG